TTAGACACTACAAGGATTGTTTATAATTGAAAAGTTTGGAAGCAATAGTTTTGGAATATCTGTAGGAAATACAGGGTGTAAACATATACTTCAAATTGAAATGTGGTGGAATGCACCAATATGAGTAATTTTTAAAGATCATTTGACAAAAACAATCTCAAGTTGCTCATCACTTTTTGAAGAAAAAGTTGGTAAGTGCATATGTAATAATGCGCACAGTTCGTACACATGTTCCAGTGCTTAAGGTCTCAGTTAAGTTGATAAAGGATCAGTTATTTTACTCAGAATATATATGAACAATTTTACTGAAATTCTTATAAAAAATTAAGTCATAATTCAAATATTCTTTTTAAGTGTAGATTTACCATAAGAAACAGCCAGGCTACAATAAATCAGTTATGTGACTGTATTCAAATATTAAAAAGTTAATTCAAGCGTGACACAACTGGCTAGGTAGGACTAACGATTGATTGATTGCATATTGTTTAACGTCCCATTCGAGAATTTTCATTGATATAGTGACGTCCCCGTATGCCGATGAAGGGCTTCAAATTTAGACCTATACTCGGTACACTGCCAATGAGCAGTGAGGGTTCTTTATCGTGTCTGTGTTTATCGTGGCACAGGATCTCGGTTTTTTAGGTCTCATCCGAAAGTCCTGTGACTTTCACATCTAATGCAGGTCGAACAGTCACTACCTATGTTAACGTCTTAGGTTTGATTGATTAATTGATTGCATGTTGTTTTATGTCCCATTGGACATTTTTTCACTCATATACATGTAGACATGTCACCATATACCGGTGAAGGGCTTCAAATTTTGACCTTTACTTGACACTCAGGGCCATTTAGCAGTGGAGGGATCTTTATCGTGCCAACGCCTTTCGTGACACAGGGCCTCTGTTTTTTTTTAAGGTTTCATCCGAAGGACCCGCAACTTTCACTTCAAAGTGCCGAGCGCTTGGCGATGGAACAGTTGCTACCTATTTTTTTATCTACTTAGGTCAGTCGCGGCCGAAATTCAAACTCACGACCTTCAGATCACGGAGCTACCGACTCTTAGGTTTGACACGGCGCGGCGAACGAGAATCGAACCCGGCCCTCCCGATCACGAAGCGAACGCCCTACCAATAGGCTATCTTGACCGGTCCTGGATTAACAATAAAGCTTCATATTTTAACGAAATTCTTTCCAAGATCATCAAAGAATTAGAGGAAATTTACAAAGAGGTCTGAGTGAAAATGTGAAGATATTGGGATTTCCATCAAAGAAATTCTGCATTCTGATTGAGTAACGAGAGGCTTTAATAATACAAATGTAATTAGCTTTTAATGACTTCTAACATAATTTCAAAAATTTGACAAATAAACGCTTATTTACATAATTTACGATTCATTTTTATTTTGCCAACTTGAAGAATGAAAGATGTTTTTGTTATTCCTATTTAATGACAGCATTACTACAGTTAACTTTCAACTTAATTAGTTTGGAGGCTTGGAATTAAAGGTTGAAGTTTTAGCGCGAAGAGTACAAAGACTTGCTATATACGTAAATGTAAATAGTTATTATAATAAAGAATATCTGCTAGGGTTCTGAAGAAAAGAGTTAAGTAAACAAAATCACATGGGAACATATCACACTTACATATGCCAAATATATAAACAAGTAAAAGTAACCGATTAACTAAATCTTAATCATTTGGCCACTAGTGGCGACGATTATAATTTGGAAATCAATGTGTTTTAACATTACTAGTCCGACAAGGTTGTGCCCCTACAACCCCCATCGAGGACTGACCTCAAAACCATAAACTGAGAACAGACCTAATAAAGTCTACATGTATATAACTTGATAATAAAACAGAATTTTCAACATGTTCTTGTAATTGAATATTACACGTATAGATGCATGTGAAATAAAAACAGGATATTCAAGATGAAATTTTTGATATGTCTCTTAGCTCATTGTCTCAAGGCCTGAAATGCTGGTTGTATGGATCCCTTAACTGGCAGTGGACTCCGTTACATCAGGTACCCAAAGGTCAGAGTCACAGGGGCCTTTACCCTTCATCTTTCATTACATTATATTATTGAATTAAAAGAATTAAGTTTAGGCAATGTACCCTGAAGAAAATGACAACGGGTTCCCTTTTAGTCCCCTATCATGTGCTTTGAGTGAGTGGTTCTAGCTCTTATATATTCTTGAGGTAGAGAATCTGAAAAAAGTGCTCATTTCTGGGGACAACCAGGTATTATCAAAAAGGATCCAACTGAGGACGGAAAATGGTAGTTCTATTGGGTACTCTGTCTAGGTCTAGGTCCTGTTTCATGAGCAAAGATGAAAGTCACAGGAACTCATCCTTAGTCTTTAACTACATTATAGAGTAAGTATAATAAGGAAGTTCTGGTAAGTAAAAAGGGACACTATCCATACGGATCCTAAAAAGGGTGATATGGGTTACCCCTCACGGTCCCTTATCGCGTGAAGTTCTAGAACTTAAAACATTGTTAGGTTACTAGGATTATTGTATGAGTTCTTTAGGTTCTTTGATTTTTTTCCTTTGAATGCTATTTTATCGGACTATTATTTTTTAAAACATCTCACAATATTGTCGTTGTGCTTTGGGTGTAAAAACAATTTTTTCCTTTCATAAATGTGTAGATTTACTATTATAATTGTATTTTGTTTTTGAGGGCAACAAAAATACATGTATAAAACAATAATTAGTATTTTTCTTACAACATAATTTAATATAGATTGTTATTTGAATTTATTGCGATTTCCTAGCACTTTCTAAATTTCGCTTTTACTCGCAGTTCTTGTGTCTCTCACAAGTTAGATATTGTAAGATATATCAATCTACCAAGACGGAAGAACTCAAGTGTATACTTACAGGGATTGACATTAACTTTATGATTCACTTGCCCTTCGGGCAAGTGATCTCAAACTTTGACTTGTCTGAATGCAAAACTTGGTTGCGCAAAATTAGGAAAGAACTTAAAAGAAGAAAAAATTAATTTCTTTAAAAGTTATGATAAGAAAAACTGTGATAAACATAAGCAGCTAAAAGTCAGTGAAAAAAAAATTGATGCTGCATTTGTACATAAATGTATACCACTGTACTTGTAAATTTAACCTTTTAACGCACACAGCCATGCAGCAATAACCCTTTCCTTTTAATTTCCTTTTAATAAAATTCATATTTAAAAAAAATATTTTCGGTAGGATCCTTTTGTGAATCGTGATTTTCAGAGATAACTGTGAAGCAACGCTAAAGGAAGATAGTTGCTACAAAACGTACATCTTATCTTGAACAGGATACATTGTGTTACGCTGTATCTATATTCTGTGGGTGAATAAATAATCTAATTTCCTGATATGAAGTTAACAAAATTTTGTTAGACGTAGAGCGTATTTACTACGAAGGAAAATAACGAACCCGATTTTTAAATGAATGGTATAATCAAGAAACGCTACCAAGGAATTCCGAATGCAAAAAAATTGTCAATCAGGTGCGTGGCGGAAATCGGTGTTCATTTTATTGTTTTATTTATAAATTAATGTAGACTAAATAAATATGTGCATTTCTATTAAAAAAAAATTCACTTGCCCGATCGGACAAGTACGTCAACAATTTCAATTGCCCGAACTGAGAATTTACTTGTCCCGGGCAATCGGACAACCGTTAATGTCAATCCCTGACTTAGTCAAGGCGTCAATTACCCTATTTTTTCGTACTTGATCAAATTTTACCGGAAAAAATTATGATATCAGTCTATTGTCTACGGATCTTTTTAAAGTGAGTTTGAAATGCACAAATGATTTTATTTTTTGTACGACCCTTTCTACTGTAACAGGAGAGGATGAAATGTATGGCTGGACCGACAATAGAAACCGGAACCCTGAAATCACTAGTTACGTGCTCTGCCAACTAAGCTACCCATATATAGATATAAACGACCCACACCATTACATTCCTCCCTCCCTCGATGACACAAACCATTTATTTATTTATTTTATTTTTTGCCCCTGGCGGGACTTCACCTTCAAATCCAGGGGTCGTCAACGGTACGTAACAGGAAAGGAGAAAACCTATGACTGGGCCGGGAATCGGTCCCAGGATCCCTGCTACACTAGTTAGGTGTTCTACTATTTGAGCTCTCCAGGCTAATATCCACGGCCCAAATCATTACACTATAATGTCCTTCCCCCTCTCTATCATAGGGGTTTGTCTTCTGGATTGTAAAATGCAAAATAAATTAATAAAACTTTGAATCTACTTTGAATAGCTTTAAAGGTTGTTACAATAATGATTCTGACAATTTCAGACAAATACCATGTTTTAAAAAAACATACCACACCTATATACATAAACTCTACAAGGGACCGTTTTCTGCTGGTTGAACGGGTGTTGACGACTGACAGAAAAAAAATAGGAAAATCATCACTGTAGGGAATAGAACCATGACAACGAAATAAATTAATGCTTTAGAGTTCACAGATAGGTGCTGAAGAGGGTGGGGGTATTTTTTCCAAGATGACAGCTTTCGTCCCTTATGGAGTTTATGCATATAGGTTTGGTACGTTTTTTGTGTGTGTTTTTTTTTGTTTTTTTTTTTTTAACATGGTATTGTTTGTCTGAAAGTGTCAGAAACTTACATGTTTATTGTAACAACTTTTTAAGTCTGTTTAAAGTACAAGCAAAATTTTATCAATTTATTTAAAATTTAACAATTTGGAAGACAAGCCCCTATGCTCTCTATCAGAGATATTGACTAGTACATTAACATGTATTTTAAGTTGGCAAGAACTGCCAGCCATATATTTCACGTATTAAGATAAAAGTGGGTCAGCGTTTGTGGCACAGATTTATGTGTTACTGAAATTAATTTTACACATAACCTTGTAGGCAGCGAATAAAATATCTTGAATTCTAATGAAATTGTCCAGTATTACACATAAAAACTCAACATAGTATGCTAATACATGCAAACACATACCTCCATGAATCCTCTCATAAGACTAGTCTGGCACGAGTGTTTTTTATCCAGTCATGCAAATATTTTTACAAGGTCGATAACTCTGTGATAAATATAACACCATGTAGAATGAATAAAGCAATTTGATGTTCTAGTATTCCAGAAGAATCATCCTAAAATGCATTGAGTGCGTTTATTAAAGTCGAATTACGTACTCATTGCCCATAGTAAAATCGAGAATGCATTTAAGTGTTATTATATACATGTATACAGGCACTTAAGGACATACGCAACTGGACTTGCTCAAGTATCTATGTTTTTTTTTAAATTAAATAATTCTTTGTTCATTTTTGTCTTGTTGTCCTCTGCTCTCGCTCATAGTTAAATGTTATCAAACATCTATGTTTGACATTATCAAAAAGTATGAAAGAGAGCACTAAAACATAGAGACTTGAGCAAGTCTAATACGCAACGTAGTTTGAACTTTATTGCCTTTTTCCATGGAGTTGAAGAGTTCCAATACTTGAAGGAACTGTGTGCTATATTTTTTATGTCTATATATGGTGTTGTACACTTCTTCTAAAACAAAAGTTTGGATTTTAAAAAAAATCTAGAATAATTTTTAGCAATTTTAATATATTTTTCTTTGAAACATTCAAGAAATTTCATCAGTTGATATCTTTTCAAATCCCCTGGTAATGCATGCTGATTTTTTGCCTATGAACATCTGATGTCACTTTGATTTTAAATTAAGAATATTTTGAAAAAATTATCAGTAGGTAAGGTACATTGCGTATGTCCTTAGATGTTTCTTGATATCAATTAAATTTTTTCTCAAAATTATAGTCTGCAGTGTACACTTTCGGCTTTGCAAATTTGTATTAGCAATTTATTTTGGAAGGAAACTGCTGTCTTGCCGTTTACTCTTTGCCACTCATACCAAAATGTTTGAAATATCTCCGAAGAATAGTATAAAAACAAGACCGGAAGGGGTCGAAGGATGAGGAGGCTTAAAAAACAATTTTTTATTTCCCTGCAAGAGATAAGTCGTGTGTACCCCTTGTTTTATTTCTATTTTGTTATTTCGCTTCTTGTGCAAATAAAAAAGAAATATCGTAGGTTTAATTTATTTATTTTAAAGAAGAGCAAATATTAAGATACATGCATACATGTATGCTATTTCGACACTATGATTGTTTTTACAAACTGACGAATGTTACAGTATATAAATGCCAATTTTCTTTTTTGTTGTACAAGTACGAATAAGTTCTGATATTTTGCAATGTTTTTAAAAAACTTTTAGAGAGTTTTTTTTTTCTATTTCGACATCAAGCAATCATGCATTAAGTGACATTTTTTTTTTTAAAATATCACCCGACATGATCGACCACAAGTGATAGTTAGGTCTATGGGATTTTTGAAAGTTTAAAATAGATTTTTGTTTTATTTGATTCTATTGTTACACTACAAGTAATTTACATGTACTTTAAATTGTTTTGATGATTTCTGGTCATATTCAAATACATTTTCTGTGATATTTCTCAAATTTACTCAGGGACTGTCATTGTCCTTATGTACTTAGAAATATTTTGCTCATATGATAGAGAAAGTACTATCTATAGTAATCCATTGAGTTTCCGCTCACTAAATTTCCAACTCATAGACGGCGCGGTTATTGAAATGTTCCAATACTGCCACGATGATTTTCCATTAAAATCGGTGTATTGGAACATTTAGTAGGAAATAAATTTACATAAAAAAAATCAATTAAGGAATGTTTTTAAGTTTTATGTGAGTTATTGGTGTGTAAGTCACACAGACTTGTCACGTAGGCATATTTCATGAAGCGCGCTAGCGCTTCATAAAAAATATACCTACGTGCAAGTCTGTGTGATTTACACACCAATAATTCACACTAAACTTAAAAACATTCCTTATATTTACATTTAACACGTTTTAAAGCACCAATAATATACTGTAGATTCCTTATTTTACGCGAGTACTTAATATTGCGAAATGGCCCTAGGGCGTCAAATCGCGAGAACAAAAATTCGCGAATCGTTGATTTATCTAGAGATTTTACATACATTAAAGCACTATGAAAATAAAAGCGAGTAATTTTATTTCGCGAGTGGTGCTTCTCGCGTACTTACGCGATAATTTATTCCTCGCGTATACTTAGGAATCTACAATACTCAATATTTGAATTTCTTGCTGCCCTATATGTTACATTTTTATTAACGTCTCTGTAGCCTCTTTGTGACGTCACTTTAGCGCGAATCTCACCGTGTATATTTCTACGCGTGAGTATACACAAAAATGACTTTCAAATCAATTTCACAGTTGGCTTAGTAGAAAAACACAGCAAATGTAAATATTCTGAGATGAGCACAACAAAAAATTGATAGATTATTCAACTGTCATCAACATCTTTTCAGCACAGCTGGTACTAACGTCTGTAATCGTGACGTATTATTTATGATGCCTTAAGACAACATGCACGTGTTCATGAAAATATCATTGAAAAGGTGCTAATGAAAAAGAGTATAATCTTACACATTATATTTAATCTGGTAGTGTGAAGTAGCAGAGTAATAAAGAAACATTTATTCATGGCGTACGCTGGGCAAAGACCTCTTAATCTTTTTAAAAAATGTTGGGGTATGATCAAATAATTTATGAAATACTTTAGGTCACTCATACTGCGGTATAAACAGATTCTATGATCAATTTTAAAAACTAAAATTGTCTTAAGTTATAAAATCCAAGATCATGTATTTAGGGGTTATATTCTCAAACATTAACATTGGACTACTTCACTTACTCGAAATATAACTTAAGTTAAAATAAATTCATTACAAGTTGCACTTACATGTAATTCAAATAAAATGAAAACTGAAAAATAAAGAATTATCAATTTAAAAGTGAATTCTTGTATGTGATACTGAAATGTACACACTCGTTCTTAATGATTGTTGATAATTGCTTACTCTAGTAATTTAGAATTTTGACCTTTCTGCGGGTTTTTGCGGAAATATATTACAATCCAATGAAATACGAGAAAAACATGATAAAATTGATATGTTTACCAGTCTAACACACAAATGATAATAATAATCTATACTACTATATTAAAATAATAGACTCGAATTTTTGGCCTTTAATACCGATAAATCGGAAGAGTACTGTCGTTTGTTTTATATATTTTAAACATCATTGGTACTTGAAGATTACCAATTTGTTTTTATTTTTTCTCAATTAAGCTTCGCTAATTAATAATCAACGAAAATTCCTCAAAAAATTCCGGAAATCATCTGGATTTTTTGGATTTTACAATTTTGCGCGTGCGTATTACATTCACGCTAAATCACGGTGTTCAAATCAGAGAAGACAAAAGTAATTTGAACTAAGTAGATATATATTTGTTATTTTATAATTTTCTCTAATAAGAAATCATAAATATATATGAACAAAATATATAGCAGATTTCCAATGAAAATTTACACGTATTTGTATTAATGTTTCTGAGTTTATCCATGCAAATGTGATATTGTGGCCACCTGGGTAATCATTCGCCATTTCGGAGACGCATTTATTATAAGTTATTTACGTCTCTGGTCATCTCAACGGAGGCAAAAAGCTCATGATCGTAGGAGTAATATTAATGTAACCATGCACCCGATTTTATTTTATCCTTCCTTTCTTTTATGCTTTTTTGAGGGGAAAGGGGGATGTTACAACTCCAGCTAGAATCACATCTTAATGAAGTATGCATTCTTTTTCCGCCAGAAATTACAATAACATTATTTTCATTTCTTAACTTTGAAATAAATCGAAATAATCAAATAACGTCAATATAACCGATATTTCCAATTTGAAATGTGTCTAAATGTTTGCAACTTGAATTTGTTCGCCATGTTTACTATTACCTTCACTGCTGAGATTTATAACTTCACCTCCAAAAATTTCTTTAACTTTGAAAAAAAAGTGGGTGAAATATGTATATAGAAGGGACAGCCTGTTCTTCTAAATATGTAAAGGTTGTCGTGGTAACTACGCTTGATAGGTAGTCTGAAGTCAGCCCTTGCGGCCCGTACAGTTCATTCTATCAATGCTACTAAAATATCGATTGTTTGTAAAATTTAATCCATGCACAGTTTTTCTCAAAACTATGAGGTGGGACAAAATTAAGATCGTAAAAATATTTATTCAATGATGAAATGAATTATATTTAATCGTAGCAAACAAACTTATGTTTTATTAAATCGCCACAAGAAAAAATACACCTGATATTATTAATTTTTATTATGATCTCTTGAACAACCAGTATGGAATTCCATATACGACAGCCAACTGCTTACTGCCAACTGCTCACTGCTTACTGCCAACTGCTCACTGCCAACTGCCACACATATTTGAATAAAATTTCATATTTATATTGATATTTATGTGAATTTTCATTAAACCAGGCGCGGATCCAGGATTTTTTTTACAGGAGGGGTCCACCCCAGTAAAAAAAAAATCCAACTTAGAAATTTCTTGACAAAAAAAAAACAAACAAACAAACAAACAAACCAAAAAAAAAAAAAAACAACAAAAAAATAAAAAACAAAAACGTAAACTCCTTTCCTAAACGTAAAAAAACCTATTTCGGCGGGGGGAGGGGAGGGGTTGACATCTTATGCTTCATATCTATGACTTTTCATATCAACTTAACACGGATCCACGTTTTCTAGGGGGGGGGGGGTGGTTCCAAGGTCACCAAGGGTTTTAGTTGGTTTAGTATATACATTAAATAACTCTACAAATTCCAGGGGGTGGTCTCCGGACACCCACCCACCCCCTCCCACCGACCCCCCTCTAGATCCGTGTATGTAAAACATAACTTATTTGGGAAAATAAAGAAAATATTTGAGAAAATATTTCACTATAGAAATTAACGGAAAATGGAAATTTATTTTCAAAACATCTTCCCCCGCGAAACAACAGATCCTTTTTTTCAGTTTTTATTCATTCCAAAGGTTTTGTTGTCTCACGGGGGGGGGGGGGGGGGCACGTGTTT